CCCCCCCCTAAAATTTTGGCTTGATCCGCTCTTGCAGTATTCTCTTTGGCAGCTGCGTTTAGTCTTGTTCTATTCCCTTATGGTCTACTTCTTTAGGGGAATGAATTGAGACTAAAAATGGCTCCTAAGGAGACTAACCTCACGTGCAAATGCCAGTGATGTGACACTTAAATAATTAAATATCTCATATCTTTGCATACTATCTAATTTATTAGTTACAGAAGAACTGCTGCCTCACGTTGTGCAATTTTAGAATCCCCACTGAAGTGGTAGGTTTAGAAAGAAAATATTCTTTAAAGTGTATTTTTATCTTTAAGGAGGTCATGTATTTTACAATAACTTACAATCTCGCACTGATTGGTTATTTTTTATCATCAATAAGAGGACAGACAGATAAGGCTGACGTCAACGAGTGCGGATCCACACTATTTTGACAATGTAATGACGCAATTTATCGTCAATAAGAGGACAGACCAGACACATAAAAAACTAATGTCTATTTGTTAACTTTATGACCAGCAGTCGTGTGTCAGACAACAGCCAGTAAATGTCAATCAATGATCAGCCAATGCATGGCCATGTATCAGCTGACTTAGTGGAGGTCAACAATTGGCTGTAAATCTTTTTGGGGGCTTTTTCAGTTTTTTTAGTCTTGCTTTGGGTTGATGGAAATGCAATGATCAACCAACTGTCCTACTGTACACCATTACCCATCTTTAATATGTGATGCATTTTTCACTGCCGCCAGTCAAAATTAACATAAGAATACCAACTGATTATTTTTGAGTGACGGAAGGTAAAAAACCAAGCATGCAGCTTGCCGCTTGCAACTACTGAGTTTGCACAAATATACTTAAGTCAATGCCAGATTTGCCTGCCTCCCTACATTTGTCTTTCTTGTCCCACTGTGGCATCCACCTGGAACTTTGTCCCGGTTTTCCCCGTCCATTTTAAAGCTCCATGGAAGCGTGGCTACATTTACACTCTGGCCTCCTCCTCAGTAATGTTGACTGTCATACTTACTTTTCTAACTTGTTATTGTACACGTAGGAATTCGCTTACAAGAGAGTAGCAAGAGTATTACTTACTTCTGCTGTTAAACACAAAACTGACTTCATACAAAGGATAGCCATTGGTTTGTGTAACCTTCTCGTCTGTCAGGTATGGAAATATTCTACCCACCTTTTGTCACATTCATTGACATTCAGCTTATCCGTGAGGTAAAACCTTTTTCTTGCAAACGACAGGTATGATTAGACATCCATCATTTTCCTGTATCTCAAGTTTGAAAAATGTTCTCTTAGCTAAATGTTCTTAGCTATTGTGAACGATCCGCCAGATCAAATTGCATTCATTAGTTGATTTTAATGGGGAAGGGAAACTCGAGAACCTGGAGAAAAAATTCTTTAAGCACAGTAGGAGAGCACTAACAAGCAACTCAACTCACATACACTACTGTCATAGTATAGTAGGTTAATTAAGTCATACTCATGAACTTTACGTAAAGTACTCTTATACTAAGCCTGTGAGTCGAACCTGGGTTGTATTGATGAGAGATGGCGCATTGACAGTGCACACTGCCTGTGTTTTACATATCCTGTAAACGTGTATTATTTATACTATCAATTGTGTCTTAAACAGATGATTTTTTTAACTATTCAGGTACAGGATGATCAAAAGGTTACAGTGGGGCGGGACCTCGGAGGAGTGAAGGTCAGTAAAGGTCAACATGTTTTAAGTGTCATGAAGGGCAATTTAGCATTGAAGTGGCTTTGATTTGGATTTCAGATGGTTCTTCAAGTCATAAGACAAAAGCTTGAATCTGACAGACCAGTAAGTATCATCTTCATTATACAATCTTTTCTTTCTGTGTTTCTGTCTGTCTGTCTATCACGTTTGTCCGTCTGTCTGTCCTTCTGTGTCTGTCTTAGTGTTATGCTTGTCCGTCCTTCTGTATGTCTGTTTGTCTGTCATGTTTGTCCGTCTGTCTGTCCTTCTGTGTCTGTCTCAGTGTCATGTTTGTCCGTCCTTCTGTATGTCTGTTTGTCTGTCATGTTTGTCCGTCTCTCTGTCTGTCTGTCTGTCTTTTTGTCTGTCTGTCTGTCAGTCTGTCTGTCTGTCTGTCTGTCTGTCTGTCTGTCTGTCTGTCAGTCAAGTGAATAGATGTTCTTTTTAATCTTTCTATATTGCTGACCAGATATTAATTTATTCAATTTGTCATATTTCTTTTCAAACAAGGAGCACGGTGGTGTTCTTGAATGTTGTTGGAGCGCTTTGTGGAATGTAACAGGTAAAGACAATATTGACAACAACTTTGTTTTAGCCATCTTTTCATTCTCCACGCTTAGTTTTTTTTGAATAAAACATCATCATTATCATCCATTTATAATCAGTCCAACAACTGGACTTAAGCACTCACTTCCATCTTCTCGCATTCCTTTTCTATTCTCGTTTACTATCTCCGTTCGTTCGTTCGTTCGCTCGTTCGCTCGTTCGCTCGTTCGCTCGTTCGCTCGTTCGCTCGTTCGTTCGTTCGTTCGTCTGTCCGTCCATGCGTCTGACCGTTCGTCCGTCCGTGCACCATCGTCGTCTGTTCACCATCTTCCATTGGTTTATAGAATCATTCATTGCTTTACTTATCTGTTCGTTCATTGATAAATTGATTAATTTATTCCATCTTTTATTCATTTATTAATCAATTGACTCCGGGATACTTTCTCATTCATTTTTTTAGCTTTCATTCATTCCTTTCTGTCTTCCTTCCTAGCCCTATTTATTCTTTAGTACAATTTTCTTTCTTTTAGTTTTATTTCTCTTTGTTTTTCGTTTCATTCCTTTCTCTTTTCTATCCTTTCTTGTTTTTTTTTTTCTTCCAGTATTATTTTTAGTCTCGACTTCCATTATCTCCACTTCACCACAACGTCAAATACTCTCCTCATTTTTATTCCAGTTCTTCCATCTTGTCACGAACCCGCCATCTTTACTGTATCCTCACCTTGCTTCTATCAACAAGTCATTAAAAAACGCCGGAAAAAACTGTCAAAATCTGACATTTCATTCTTTCTTCAGTGTGTATTAGAATCACTGTACAAATAAAATACTCGATTAATTTGCATATCGGCAAATAAATAAATTATATTTTTTCATGATTACGAAATTGTTATTTTTTGATTCTTAATATTTTTATACATCAAATTTATTAAAATAATTTTCGTACGCTATTTCCAGCGTCCATGCAATCTTTAAAAAACTATTATCTTGTAAATGTGGATTACTGCATCTTACTCCCCAAATTCTAGGTTAAAATTCACGTAAAAAATAAAAANTTCCAGGTACACTGTTCACTACTCTCAAAATTACCATGATCTTTTCCTTCCCTCCTTCCTTCGTTCCCTCGTTCCCTCGTTGCTTCACTCCTTCACTCCTTTGCTACTTCCTTCGTTCCTTCATTCCTTTGTTCTTCGTTCGTTCGTTTCTTCGTTCGTTCGTTCGTTCGTTCGCTCGCTCGTTCGTTCGTTCGCTCGTTCGTTCGTTCGTGCGTGCGTGCGTGGTGCCTGCGTTTGTTAGTTCGTTTATTCATTTATTCACTTGTTACTTGGTCATTCACTCAATACCTTATCTCTTACCTCGTATTTACATATCCTCTTTTACTCACTTTTCTTAGATGAAACTCCAGACAACTGTTCTTTATTTATCGAGAATGGTGGCATGGAGCTATTTATGGAATGTAAAGCGGTAAGAGTGCAACTGGTCGGCAAGGATGTCAGTTTCATTCACTATTCTCTCTTATTCCTCCTTTTTTCTACTTATTTTTTTTTTGTTTCACAGAAACTCGGACAACAGCGTGACTTATTAAGAAACATGCTTGGACTGATGGTATGTTATTTCATTTACATAGCAAAATAACCAGTTTAGCTACTTTTAATCCTAACCTACTATTGGTCTATCACGAATCCTGCGCTCTTTTTTTTTTTTTTAACATTTTTATTTATCATTAAACAAATAAATTAATTACAAGTACATAAATTTACTAGGTTTTCCTTAATTTTAAAATACTGTACTTACAGCGTTTTTACTTTTCGATATATTAAACATTATATACAAGATTCAGAAACAAAAATTGACAATAATAGAAAAGGAAGGGGAAAAAAAAAGAAAAGAAAAGAAAAACAGAAAGAGAAAAGAAAAAATCTTGCCTTTTACCTTATTTCAAGGCCTTAATGATTTTTTCCCATTTTCTTAGATGTTTTTGTGTCTTATTTTTTGATTTTGCTATTTTCCTTTCTATATTTTCATAATGTGTTAAAATATTTTTAAATAGTACGCTCTGATTGGCTGAGCTGCTAGTGGTCTAGTGATAGACCATTTGTAGCAAAAAGGATTGGTTTCGAAAACCAAAACAATTGCGGCCATCTTGCGTTTTCAACCGAAATGTAATATTATCTTTATCCTACCCTTTCGGGCTTCGGGACTAATTGTGAAATTTCAAACACCTGGTTCCCGACTTAGTTCTGCCAATCAAATTTTTATGTTCTTTTTATGAATTCCATCATCTAATGTTCTGATTTCATGTATTTTGTTGTTATAGGGTAATGTTTCCGAAGTAGACTTCCTAAGGCCTTACCTGATGAAGTGTGCTGAGGTGTTCTAGTAAGTTTATCAAGTGTTTCGTCCTTAAAACAACAAGGATTGGCTGGTTAGAACGTGTGTTGTGTCGCGTGACAGGTTTCGCATCACATTGTCACATTAAGGTTTTTACTAACCTTGTCACAGAAAGTAGAATACTTTTTCTGCAGCATAAATTGAATGATACCAGTTGCAAGAGTGTGTGTTACACGCGCAGAAAGCAACCTGCAACACGACTTTTGGACACTACACAAGTTACACTTGAAACAGCGTGTAACAGGACCAAAAAAACGATTTAATTTTTTCGCTCATTCATCGTGACTGCTGTCACGTAATCGTACCAAGCCTCTCTAATGAACTTGTTGTATTGTTTTAGTGATCTTCTTGAACCAACCAATGAGCTTGAGGTCAGTTATAATGCCGCGGGTATCCTGTGTCACATGGCGTACGATGGACCAGGGGTCTGGACGTGTGAAACAGTGTCTAGAGATACGGCTCTTGAAAAACTTGTAAGTAGATTATAATACACTGATAAATATTTTATAATCTTCTTCAAAATCTAATAGCAGTATTATTTGTTTACGGCCGGATTATATCTAAAAATCTTATGATATGTTTATGCGCTCAGTGTTCCGGCGCCATTTCTCACCGCTGTGTGGTTCAAACCGGGTTCGCGGGCTCAATTCTTGACTGAACCGCATTTGTGAGTTAAGCTTGATAGTTCTCTCCCTTGCAACGATTTTTTTTTTCCAGGTTCTCCGGTTTTCCTTTCTCCGTAAAAATTGACATGTGAGTTGAGTGTTGTCAGTGTGTTGTAGAGTAAATGTAGCAGTACTACTTGTGGAGTGAACCTCGAGAAAGAGCCCCTTACAGAAAGTGATGGTTGTAATAGTGTAAAATTACATACAACTCAAGACTCAGGAKTTTGTTAATTAAAGTCTTAAAATCTGCAGCTGCATAAGTTGCTTGATATACTGCGAGGATCAGCTCAATTTGATACCGTAATACAAAGATATAGTTTATATATATTCTCATAAACACAACTCTTTTTGTCACAGGTCAATTGTATTGGACATTGGGATATAGGAGCAAGCCGACAGATGAGCTACCGGTGAGGGATTGTAGTTGCTTCCTAATTAGTTATTTTTAATGGGGTTCGCTGTCCATTTTTAATGTCCAAGTTTCTATCATCTTTTTGAATGATTTTTCTATTTTTCCTTAGCTCTTTTGCGCCTATCTTGCGCTTACTTCAAAAGTATGACACACCAGCCATCCAACACTGGGGGACCTGGGCTCTAGCTAATCTATGTAACGTTGACCGTAAGTATATACTCTTATGTTTTATAATACACTAAACAAAACTGGACAAGAGGAGTACAATTAAATCCCAAATTGTACTCTGTAGAGTCCCAATTAAGTTCCTCAATTTTGTTGAGTGTATTATAAACAAAGAATCGCATAATTTTCTCGTACAATTAGGAATTTACAGATACTCGTGGTGTTTTGAAAGTTCTCAAATTGGACTCGCCTTAAAGGTCGTCGATTTTGAAAACTTGCAAAACATCACTCGTACCTCCAAAGGCTATATAGTGTTTGACCATAGTTAGAAAGACGAAAAAATACTTTGTATAACAAAGATAACTATCAAAATGTAGTGATCTCTCAAAGATTTGTAGTAAATTTTTAGCGAACTCATAGAAATGTCATAGGTTTGTCGGAGTGACATGCTCAACTGCGATAAGAGCTGTTCCAATTTGTACTCGAGATCGTGCGATTTCCTATACTAAAAAAAATTATATTTTTTGCAAAAAAAAAAAAAAAAAAAAAAAAAAAAAGCCAAAATGTATAGAAACAGTATTATATCCCATTTTACGTTTTCTTCATAATTAGTCATTCGTCAAGTTTACCTCTGTCGATGTGCATCACCTTTCTTTGATTTTTCTCTTCCTTCTTGCAGTGATTTATGCAGTCATCCACCGATTCTCAGTTCACTCTACTTTCCTTTCTTCATGTAGTATTTGCTTCATTCCGTCACTAATTGGACTTTTTTCTTCTTCTTTCAGCCGAGAAATATTGTGCCCTAGTCATATCAGAGAACGGAGTACAGTTACTGGAAACCTTGATTCTTCATCCCGAGGTTCCAATGCGTGTAAAAGAATATTCACAAATCGTCCTCAAGAAATGCCAGCCGTTCATTGACAACAGCTCCCWGACAGGCCCCTTTACAGCATCAGAGTTCAAGTAACATTTTTGAACAAATGTTTTACCAGACATAGCGGTAAAACTGGCCTCTTTTACTGACGATTCCAAAATAAATATATATGATGGGTTTTCTGTGGCAAGAATAGTAATAGAGCAGATGGAGGACTGGGGGACTATATTTTTGCCATAGGAAGCCCATATCTTAACTAAGCCGCGAATAGGTTTTGTAATAGACATTAGAGTCGTTTTCATATGACCGTGAAAGAATAGGCAAACTAATAGTTAGTAGTAGACTCTAAACCAATGATTTTCTTTTGTTCTTTATCAACTATTACAAACTAAATGGTCTATTTTCTTTCACGGTCATATGAAAATCACTCTAGCATTGTGTGATTTTAATGTGCCTATTAATGATAACAACGACTAACAGATCACCAGGCATCTAGACTGCGAGGAGTCTATTTTTACCACTATTGTGAATTTTCTCGCTTTCTTGTTGGTTTAGAGCCGGGGGAAATAGGAGGACATACCGATAAATTACGTCAGCAAATCACGACCGTTTTTCTTTCAAATGTTTTTGTAGTAAGATTTTMAATTTTTTGTTGTAAAAAACACAACGGCTTGCGAGGCCACAACCATATGTTGACGGCTAGATAACGAAAATCGTGGTAAATAAGAGCACGTATCATGGAAAACTGGAGGAATTTCATTTCACTGTTTCTTTCGTCCCTCACCCCCCACACCCCTTCCCGGGGGATATTAGACTAGCTACTAATCCTCCCTCTGCCAAATTGACCAAAGCAAACACCAAACAGTGGCCAAGGGAAATACTCTTTACAAGAAGTGCTCGCAGTCTAGCTTTCGTCGATCATAAAAATTCTAACAAAGGCCTTAGAAGTTTAAAAGACGGAAGCCAAACACCCAGGCGTATAGAGTTATAGCTAGTTATCAAAGTTGTGTAATTATAAAAATAGACAACACTAGGGTTCTTACACCTTACACTCGTGCTTCGTTACGTCATATCCTTATTTGTGGTTTGCAGTCGGTGGTGTCATCGTGACCAACCTACTACAATTTGCGAGCAAACGGAAGTAAAATCTCTAGCTTGGAGCAGGATAACCAGGTCGGACGTTTCTTGATTTTTTTATGCCACGAACTGTTTATAAATTGAAACTATTTGACAAAACAAACACAAGAGTACCAATAACCGATTGAATTGCTTAGCATAGAAAGGCTTTAAAATTTGATATATACTATATATGATAAAATGAAATAGAAGAATTAGCTCGTTGGAACAGTAGTGAAAAGGTACTTCCGGTACATTATGAAGTTCGTACTTCCGGCGGAAATAGGAGCGAGAAGCTCGTGTATTTTTTAACATATTTGCCTCTAAATAACGGCAACAGTTAATAACAATATATGAAGTATCTACCTTTACAATATATTGGGTTTAAAGCTATTGCGTGTGTATACAAATGARCTATAGCAGCTTAAAGATAGATAATGTAAGATATAATTAAATTGAATTTATGATCATAAATGATTTGCTCCAAGCGCTTCAGCACTGTTACTGATAACCAAGTTATTTGATGTAAATATCCAACTTATTGTCTAATAAAAGTACTGGCGAAAATACATATTTTATGCGTTCATAATCTTGACTGGTCGTGGTAGTTTGACCTCAAAAAACTGGTGGTACCTGTGTGATTAGAAACAAAGATAAGTCAAAACAAGGATTTTACGTAAAGCAAAGCTTTTAAAAAAAAAGAACTTTTAAAGATGTATTCAAAAATCTTCAGGTAAAAACAAATTGTTACGAGGTCAAGAACATCACGTACTTTTATTGGTAGAATACAAGACCTCGTTTTATTAGTTACAGCCTATTAGTTACAGCCCACGTTCCTTTTGGGGCCGCACAAACAAACCAAAGCCTCATATATATAGTATCTTATGCTCTACTTTCATTAGTTTTGGCAGTCAATGCTGCATCCTGATTGGATGAGCTACTACTAGGCTATAAGGTATGGCCTACTAGTATCGAAAAGTGCCGGCTTTGAAAGCCCAAAAATTGAATTTAACTTTAATTCAAGACTTTATTTTGCATCTAAATAATTGCTAATCATTATAGTATTTATCAACCAGAAAGACTGGGAGTTGAACTCGCCCATGGTTTAACTAAAACTAGGCACAGGAAGCCCAACCAGATCGATAAAATAGTACCTTGCTTCGTCTATGTGAATGCCGTGGCATGGCAGAGGTCGTTATATATTCGACTTGACGAATTTGATTGACGTGTGGCGGTCTACTTGTTTCAGATAGAGCGGAAGTCGTAAGATTCAGTGTCGACTCTGACTCTGTTCCATTTTTTCCTGGGTAAACACTTATCTAGTTATTACTTTAAGTTCTAACTCTGCAGGATCTGAAGTCTGTCTCTGGATGACGTCGAATCCCATCGATTCGTTTTTACATACCGTACTGCAACACGTGCGCCCCATACGACGATTAAAGGTTTCTGCTTCATGGGGTTCCCTTGGCCCTTGCATGTTCGAAGATGAAGTTGTTTCGAATGGATGACAACATGCAGCTTATAGGCCTAGCTTCATCACGCACATTCATGGGGGAATATAAAAATTATTCACTGCTTTAAGTTTTCTTATCGATTGATAGAAATCCCTTACAATCAACAAGAAAAGAAGCTAAAGAAATATTGAATTAAAAAATGAATGCTTTTACTTTCTTTGTTCCTTGAAAGGCAGTGGTTACAGTTGAAAGAGTCGAAGATTTACTGTAGGCACGGTATACGACTTTTTTTGAATCATATTCTACAAAAATAATGATGTTAATCTCTATAAACTTAACAAAATAATATTATACTCAAAAAAATTACCCGTCTTTCATCGGCTGCTATAAGAATATGCTGTTGTAAATAGAGTAGGTGAACCCCCTTGCTCTATCAGTACGACCCTTGCCGACTTCTGACTCGACATGTCAAAGGGTTTAATGATAATGTCATTGTTCAAATTAATTATTATAATTATAATCACTGCAAAATAAAAAGTATTAGATACAAGAAAACAGACGTTCAATAAAAGTCTGTCAAGCTTAGTTCCTAGATTTTACACATACATCAGTTTACTAAATTTTAGCTGAAATAAATTTTCTCTTTGTTGTTTCAATATTTATCTATATATCTATATTTATTTATCATTTATGCTTCCAAAATTTGAATTTTCCAAACTGCTTCTAAGATCGAGTTGGTCGGTTGAAGGTAACGCAGATTCCTTTGTTGTGTAAAGGCGAATCGAAAACTCTGAAAACATTTCTTTCGTATTCTGACAAACTAGAGTAGAATATTTTTCTTTTACTCCATTTGTTTAAACATTGAAAGTAAAAATAAAAATTAGTAGGCTTTACGATATAAATTATATCTTGGCGGGAAATGTAACAATGCACTTTTTACAGTGACACTCAATTGCCTTTCGTTGTGAGCCAATCAAAACGTACGAAGGCTCACGCAGTCCAATGACAATGGCTTAAAGATACGGAAACCCTTTAAGCTACTTCTTTTTCTTATACCAATGTTGACACGAAATTTACATCAAATACAGTCAGAGATAAACCTCGATATCCTGTGGAGTTTTTAGTGTAACTGCTAGACGCGTACGCGCTTGGTCTGGGGCGTGTGAAACCGTTGAGAGTTTTGTGTTCCGCTTTCACTTCAGTTCTGACACAAATCGCGATAGTGTCACCTTAGCAGTTTATTAATACTGGCGGAAATATTACATAAATGCTGAGCGGGTATTATCTATCTTTCTATTAAAACCTTCTGGTTTAGAAGATTCAGTGATGGTCGGTGATAACATTTCGAGGAACAAAAGAGCAATGCAAAAGGTATTTGATGTGTGTGTGTTTTTTTAATGAATTTCCTGGCGGATTTTTGTGGTGAAGACTTAGAAAGTATTCCTTGATGTTGAGTCAATCTTTTTTAATATAGGAGGCAATTGCTTTTGCATTATTTCTTGTGCGGAAAAAAATATTAAAATATTGCTAAATTTCAAGATCACTATAGAATTCAAAGCTAGCTAATATAACATTGCATAACACAGAAATAGAGTACGCTTTGAGAAGAGCCATGTGCGTGGAGTAGATATAGCTGATACAACGTAAACATTTTAACCTGAGCAATAATCGGTTAGATATCTTGCATATAGATACAAAATAAGAAAAAAGAGATTCAAAAGTATTATTTTAAAACTGAATTCGAAATGATTATTTCAATTTTCGAAAACTGTAAGTTTTTTCTTGGAAATCGCGTGCACCTGACCCATAAAGTGATTGATTACGAGCCAGTGGTACTTGCGATCTGCGGTTCCACTCAGAAAATAAAAGTAAAGTCAGAATTTCTTTTTTCGTTTAGGAAAAAAAAGACAAAATGTTCAAGAGTTTTTATTTTGAATTATTAATTTTGTTGAATTGAAAATAATCTAAAGGATTGCATTTTTCCTTTCTCCATTGGGCGGATTTAACAGTAATCAGTATATTATACATTACATATTTCTAAATTTTTATCTTTCTGGTATGTTGTGTAGGCAATACCTAAACGAAAATCATGCAATCTTATCTAGAGAGCAAAGATTACTATTTTGTCGATGATCATTATCGCCATTCTAATTTTCGATTTGTCCTCAGTATTTTGACATCAGTCAGCAGCATGGATTCTTTCTTATTTGTAAATAAATCTCAACATAAGTAAATATATAAGTTTCCAGCATCGTAAATAAACAATCTGAACTTGAGAGGTTTAATTTTACTGTTTAGTACTGGGTGAAGAATCTAAATTTTAGAAATGCTATGAAAAACTTTTCGATATGATATCCAATAAGGAAGTATTCCCTATAACATCAAATTGATTTTCTTTAAATGGTTCATTTAGCTGGGGTATCAAAGTCTATTTTTAGTATTGAATTATAGAGCCTTCTAGCTGGTTTATCGAATCGATAAGGAGATATTGGCAGAATTTCTTTGGATACAAAATGGATATAAAATTATTTTGTCGGTCACATATTACATGGATTTATAATTGAATATCGCTTCTCACGGTTTGACAATTGAGGTTCCATCTGCAATCTTTGGAAAGTAGTACTGCATGGAAAAGAAAGGTATTTCTCATTTCAAAGTCTTCCAGCATATTGAGGACCTAGAATCAATAAGGTCATGATATTAAATACAAGACTGAGTCCATATAAACATCTTGAGATAAACTTAGACGCCGAAAGGCGGAAATAGAAGGATAATAATACTATAAACAATAACATTCAACGTGCTGTAGCCTGTATGCCTACTGAATGCCCTGCAAAACTAAAGAGAGAAGTTCAAAACCGAACTTCAAAACTGCGGTTACAGGCGAAGAGGAAGATTTTTATCGAGTATAAAATGCGGATGTTTTATTTAAATAGGAAAACCTTCGTATTCATAAGGAAGCAGCGGCTGAGAACGACTCAAACGCCCACTCAAAAGCAAAACTCTCCGTCACAAATCTATCGCAGAACAATCCACATGTACTTATATATTGAGTCATTACGTTATAAAATGCCATCAGTGAGTTATTGAGAGCTTAGTTATTTTAGCCTCTTACGAACTCTTTAGTGTAAGTTTGTTAATTCCGTCAAAGCTTACAGTATTTGGACCATGAATCGAAAATAAGATTGATCCCGGAAGTTCTATTCTGAGCATTGACCTTGAACAAATAACTGACGAACTTCACATTCAAGAATGTGTGCTGTGGATCTTAAACGATCTTGGACTCACTCGATGACTGGACGCTCAAACACGTATCGTTGTACTTCGACTGGATTCGACAGGCAGGCAGAAGTTCTATAAGCGCGTGAAAGATGCTTATACCAGACTTTATGATTAAAATGCCTACGACCTTTATTTTTTTATTTTTTTATATCAAAATTTAAGCCATTCTAAACGTGTCGAATTATATATATATATATATATATATATATATAATGACGCCTGTTTCTATTTTTTCGAACGGTCAAACTTGCAAAAATCGCGGCATTTCTTTGAGTCTGGACGAGTGAAATGAAAACCTGGGGGAATGGGCTGTGACGTCAAAGGAGCAAGTTGGTTTTAGATGCCTCCTCATGGATTCTCCTTATCTTTCACTAGTATTTATGGCCAATTTGCCGTTGTTTTATGCCACCAAAAGGCCTCATGTTTATGGCTAGAGGATTTTAAGTACTTCAGACTTCAGGAATGAAATTATTTTTGAGATATTTTAAGAAAAAGAGAAGCAGCGAGAAGTTAAACGAAACCTAGGGAGAACTCCAGGTTAGAAATATCAAATATAAACAACTGAAACGAAGATTAAAGAAAAATCCGAATAATAAAATCATACCATGATCCGGATATTTTTCAAGACCTCTACCACCAGGCACCATTGCACACTTTCTTTTGTTCAGTTCATTAGCACCAACTGTCTTACTATTCTCATGAGGGAAAACAAATTTAAATAAGAAAGAAAATTTGCGAAGCATCTATGTAGTGCATGGGAGTCAAACGACACCATCATGCAAACGTCCTATTTGTTCTTTGCGGATTCCAGTTGTTTTCAGTTCACACGTATCTCGTTAATAAACCACTTGAAAGAGCAACTTACTTTTGAGAGTGAAAGAAAAATAATCTCACTAGACTTTCGCAAAGTCCGCTTCCCTCTCAAAAAATTATCTTTTCGCTTGAATAATTTTTCGAGGGAGACAACAGCTATCGACTTGGGACAAGTCAATAATCTCACTACTCATATCCTTTGCTAAGTGCTCAAGGTGCTTCTTCTGGTAACCTGCATTCTTTCGCAGGTATAGAAAAGTTATAATCACCTCATGTATGTCACATGTATCAATCACACGAATGTACGGTAAGTTCTATTCGTGTGATGGATGAACGTGACATAGACGATGTCGCTTCTCCACCATCGTAACGTTAAATTGGGCCGTACCTAGTGAGGCATTAGTTTGGAAAATAAGAAATGAGAATACAATGATGACGTAAAAAAGATCTTAATTATTGCTTACTATCAATCACTTGACTTTTTTGAAGTTGACTGGGGGGCAAACACTGCGGTTGACTGAGCGGCAACTACCGGATGTTAAGCCAAAACATGTCAAAACCACAGGCTCACAACCCTAAGTATTAGTGGTTTCGGTTTCTCTAGTTGGGATCCCTGTGGCAAAGAGATAGCTGTTTCATCGATAGAGTTCACATGTTCTACTTCTAAAATCTCTCTTCAGTAGTCGGTCTGGAAGAAAAAATCTGGAAATAAAGATCAATAGCTTATTATGTKTCTTGAAGTGTTTCTTCTGCGAAAAAACCTCAAAAATGCTCGTTTGCGGCTTCGAAAGTTCGACGGTAAATATGACCCGTTCACCTAGTAGAAAAATTTGGTAAGTCTGTGGTCAAAATATGTAATTCCTCAAACTATTGTTTTCGACTATTTTTACGACATGAAAACCAGAAAACAAGAGTTCAAAACAACCTCAAAGATTCTACAAGCCATAGTAAAAACGCAGACAAATTGGACAAATTTGTGTACGTTTTACTACAACATTACTAAGGCCTCACCAAAACGATAATAATGTATATCCAAAGGGTTCGTTTCAACGTCTTCAACTTTGTTAAATTGTTAAAAACGCAGAAAAACAGAGAGCGATATTTTGATGTCCACTCCCAACGCCATTCAGTTGTAAATTAATCCATTCATTTCGTGACGTAATAGAATCGTCAGCAATTAGAATAATGACGTACAGACCACAAGGTGACCGCACCTTGATGTTGTAGTACTGCTGTTTTTGAATTCATATAGCGCCGGATCTTTTACCGGTTAAAAATATGAGTGCTAACAGACAGCAAGCAAGTGGTATCTCATGAATGTGAACTCAACATTGCTGCACTGACAGTTGTTCCATCGATTTTTTTGACAAAATGGAATATGCGCGCGCTATATTTGGTGGGTTATACCGCTTGACAAAATTACTGTTCATATTTCAACAAACAGCATGATAATGTCTTGCTGTTCAAAAAACCTATTGCATTCGGTTAATTAGTGTTTAACTYATAAGTGAGTTGGCAAAAGAAAAAACAAAAGTCATGATCAGTTCGACTAGCGTTGTAGCATGCAAGAAATGCGTGCTGACTTCGTATGCTAACGAGCTGTTGCTGGTCATACATAATATTACTTAATTTAAAAAAAGACAATGTGTGGGTCTCGTGTAGAGAAGAAAATAATCGATATAGTAAAGATTTCGGTGGAAATTCGGAAGGATTTAAAATTTCCTTTTATAAAACTGGTTTCATAGATCGTGAATACGAGTTTCCTTGCAATTTGGCGGTCCTTCCTTCCAAACAACTAAGCTATACTTTTTAGCGAATTGCTTTAACATTAAGATTCCCACGGAATGTAATCATAAAAAATAACACTTACATAAGCTTCCATATATACGATTACGTCACACAAGTCCCGCTACATTGGAACAGACGTCATGTTCAAACTGGTGTGACGTCACATGGATGCTCACTTCCGGTAATAAACCGGAAGTCTCAAAAACTTCCAATTCTAGTAAAGCATTTATATGAAATCATTTAAAGTGTGGACTTTGGAAAGCTAAGAAAATTGTATCATTTGCATCCAACAAAAGTATTTGCCTAAAAAATACGTAGGATGAAAATTAGAGAGAAAAACTTTGATGGAACGGTTTGTTGACTGACAAGACTCTTGACTTGAATTATTTTGCGTAAGTAAGGCCCTTTCGCTTAAGTTTACGATAATCTTATAAAATACTAAAACTATTAGTACAAGAGTATATATATTTCATAGGAATTCAAAAAGCAACTAAAATTGATTGATATTATACTTTTTGTAATGTTTTGTTTTTCGTTAAAATCTGAAGCGAAATCCGGCCCGCCATGGGTGAGTCCTGTTTATCGACGTAATACGATATATACCTCTTTTTGCTCATTTCTTAGCACTTTACTCTTTATTTCGAATAATTAACGTCACGTTACATCACTTGTGAGGAGGCTGTTAATGACGTCAAAATGTTTTAATAATGGCAATGTTTATTTTTTGATTAATTAATCAATTAATCCCCTATTAAAATCATGGGTATTAATACAGTTTTCACATGCTATTAGTGACTTTAGTAATAAATTCACAACACTAAACTGTTGGACGCACTTCCTGTCTTGTAGGTGCCTAATTGAAAGGGAATTATATTGCGGCAAAGAAACACAGCGTTTAGTTCTGAACGGCAAAGACGCACCTTCTTTCCTCAAGAAACAAAGCGAATAAAGTAAGTGTTATTATCTTTATTTTAAAGTTAACGAACACAGAACTTTGTAATATTTTTTCTTTAGATTTTGGCGGATAATTTTCTGTTGCCATTAATTTTCCTGTGCATGGATTCATAAATTGACTTCAAATCCAAAACCAGAGTTTAGTAGAGGGGAAATAGTTCTAACTATATCAAATTGAGCTGTTCCAAAAGTAAGAAGACGTGCTGATTTCGTTTTCGATATGGGCGTCAAGGCTGTTGGTGTAGCATAATAGTGCAAACCAATCCGTTCCACCGTCAATTCCAACTGTATGATCAGATGTTTTATTTCACTGTCAGACATTGCCCTGCATGATTAGCCAAGAAGATGTTTCAAGGATTGGCGGATTTAATTGATCATCAGTGATGCATGTTTGAATCGGCTTGTTTTAACTCTTGCTTTAGTTTAGAAAATTAAAAATAAAAAAAAATTTAAACACTATAACAATGATAGAAAGCATGAAATTCCTTTTGTGCTAGAGTTGTAAAAATCAAAGTCACAAAAAAATATTTCTAGCCGCGGTCCTTTGTACGCTAAGTTTCATAGTTTTCCTCTTTCATTTTAACGARCCTTCCCTCAAACTGAAAATCAGCATTCTATAAACTTCAGCAGGTCACATTAGTTACTATTCTTGAAAAACTAACATTCTCATTAGTATAGGTAATAGGACTACATGCTGTCCAGTTTGGAAATAATTGGATGAAAATTTTTTTCGAGGACTGACAAAATTGGACTGAAGACTGAGGCCGATAGGCCGAGTCCAATTTGGCAGTCAGAGGAATTTTTTGAATTCAATTATTTTCAAATTGGACAGACATGTAGTTCTATTGCAGATTAATTATATCATCCCAAACTATACTAGACTGATTCCATAAGTCATAGTTTTCTCTCGAAAGAATGCGAATGGAAACGATTCAGATTAATCTTTAATTTGGACAGGAAAGAGAATTGTAAAATGATACAATAGTTGCTTGTATGGGATTATAGAGTGATGATACTATTAAACAATATAGGCATGATCGATTCATGATAGCTATAGCTTATTATGGTTCATGATCGCCATTTTAAAACTAATGATTTCACTATTCCTGATCATGACCTATTAGTTTTTGATTAAAGGGAATAATATTCACAAGCTGGGACATAAAAGGGATTCTTACTCTCAGAACCTTCAAACAATTTATCGATACCCTGAAAAGGAATTGGAACTTTGTCGCGTTAGATTTCGGGGGAAAAGGAAAACCGTAAAACCGGTCTAGAACTGAGAGAAAAACACAAGAAACCAAGAGAGAGAGACCTATAACAAATTCTACTGCAGGTGTCTGGGACTCAAGAGGCCGATAGGTGAGAAGGCAGGTGAGAGGAGAGTTTATTTCTGCACAGGTATCTTCTGAAACCTTAACGAAATAATAATGAAGAGAAGGTCACGTGATATGTGGAGGAAGACTGATTGGTTGGGTCTATTAGTACAGAGAGATACTACTTATTCCAACTCACTTGCTGAATAAAGTACCCGATATGAACTAAAAAGCATAGTTACACAATCTCGTACCCAGGCCCTTATTTCATACTGCGCATGCTCGACGAAATTTGGTACGAAATTTGCAGATAGAGTATCGTGCGCATGCACTCGGCATAAAACTGCTGCTGTTGAATTTAGTCAATATGTATTTTAAACTTTGTTTTGTTTTCCCAACTGAACTACATACACGTTTTGAGTAGTGCTACAAAAAAAGCATGACGTACGTAGTGACAATTAAGCTTGTTGCAGGTACCAATTTCTGACCAATTCCGGTTTTTCTTTTAACTTCGCAATTCCAAGCATAAGATAATCATTAAGGAAACTAAAAAGGAAAAATCCCATGAATAGCGAAAGAATGTAATAGTACGAAACTTAGTTATGCGTCCGTTGTTGCTAAGAAACTAAAGTTGAATAATAATTTCATTGGAACATTTGGAAATTCGTTTTGATCGTAAGACCTTACTTATGGAAGTGCATAAACACTAAAGTGATGACCAACTATAAAAGATAACGTCTTTTTCTCAGTCACAAATACATATTGATTGATTTCCCCTGTTCTGGCCCGAAAAAAACCGAGGGTTTCAGTACGTACAGCTCAACCAAAAAAAAAAAAAAAAAAGCATTCGAAAGTGATATTGTATATTATACTTTAATCTGCCTCTTTACCTATATTTTTCGAGTTTCGGTTCTACACACGGAAAATTAATGCTTTTTCAGCTATTACTGGATATTGGTATAAAATACTGCCAAATTAAATAAGCATTTGAGTATGATTTTTTATCGTTTCTATATACTTTGGCCGGGGCATTCCTTGCACAACTGAAACAATGCCAACTTTGCATGACTAAGCGCTGTTCTTTCATGGTTTCCGATACAATTTCAAATTAAATTACTTGAAYTAATTTACTTGTAAACATTCACTGCACTAGAATTTTGTTGTTCTTATGATCGGTTTTTTACTGAGGGCCAACTTTTTTTTTACGTTCTTAMAAAAAAAAAAAAAAAAAAARAAAAAAATGGTCGCGATCTTGATCAGTACACACCCGATTTATCTTGGCTAGCTCAATTATGCGTGACACACGAAAAAATGCACGCAATTCCGAAAAAACTTTCGAAATCCCTATCAGCTCCTCGGTTTCATAACTCTTTTAAGTCTTCTTATCTTAGACACATAATAAACTTCAAATTTGAAATGAAAATCTGTTCCACTAGTTAGAGTGCAAACAATATAACCGTGAAACTTTAGTAATACTAAATAGCACAATTTCATGCAAATTCCATTGTTTTCTATTGTTTAATTAGCACTATTTTGTACTATTTAGGAACTAGTGTTTCACAGTTTAATTGTTTGCATTCTAAGCCCCGGTTATTATAAGGTTTACTTTATGTATCTATATGTGTGAATTCTCTTGAACGTGATGCAAGTGTTTATCAGAGAACTACCTGTTGCCTGCTCAAAGAGTGTTGACACTTAAGTGAAGCTAGTACTACTTCCTAGTAAGGAAAGAATAATCGCATGAAATTGAATAACATGAATGGACGTTTTCTCTCTTGATCTGTGAAGACATTTATTCGACGGCACTCCTTGCTTCTTAGATATCTACCACTTATAGCTTTGTTCTCAAAAATTTGTTCAAAACACCGCGTGATACACATTTGTTTATTATCAGTCATGACCAGCTCGGGACCCACCCTAGCACCAGGCCCACTCAACTTAAGCAATTTAGCCTTTGCCTCACATGTGGAATGGCGTAACTCGTTGGAAATAGCTATTAGCCCGCGAGGTAAAGGAAAAAGGGCGTCGTAAACTCTGTGAATCCAGAGTTCCTTGTATAAGGTCAGACGTTGTTGACGGAAAGGGTCTCGGATGAATTCACTCTAAGATACACGAGAAATTTCAAATAATTCACAACTAGCTCTGAATCTTGCAAAAGGTAAGTAAATAAGTATATATTATTTACATTCTATTTCCCTACCATTTCAACATCACGCGTGTGAAACCAGTGAGGTGCGCTTACCAAACGATCGAGTTGCTGTGCAACTTACTTTGCAACTTGCGCGCTAATTGAAAATTTCGCGGTTTTTCACATTGCACATGTTTAACTCAACTTTGCATGTAATTTTTGTAAATGATCGTTTTTTCCCCCCTTAAATTTTATTTGAAAAAAGGCCCTTTGCAGGTGCTATTATTTGGGAGTTTCCAGTTCGTTGCTCTAACTACTGATGCGCATTAACTCGTTCAAACGACCGTTTCTCTCTCATTTGAAAATGTCCATGTATATTACTAGATTTAAATTTAAAATTGAAGTCAAGACTAAATAAGACGGAAAAACTCATTTGACAGGCACTTAGAGGTATCCATAAGTTCTACCAGAGTTGTACTTTTGAGAATACACGACTACTGTTGCTCTTAGGACACTGCATGCGCTTGCCCCATGCCTCTGTACCGCAGCGCAGAACACGTGCATTAAAATCGATCGTGCACACGGTAGACCTATATATTTATCGCCTAAACTTGCGCAAAAATAACTACTTAGAAAAACGAAGAAATAATGAATTATCTTTATACTATTGAGTTTATTCAGGGGAATATGTTATATGGCAAACTATATTGTCAGTGTACTTCTGTCTAATAATAATATTTTGGTTCGCGTTTGTAAACAAGTTTGGCACCCGTTATTGACAATTTCGAAGTCAAGTTTGTGCGCTCGCACACGTTTAAAGCATGCAAGCTTTTTGCGGTATCGTTCTTTTTCCTGTTTATGTTTACATGTTAGCCCTTTAGCCCAATGTCTCATAAAAATTTATATGTGATTGTATCTATTACAAAACTGTTAAAGTTGTTTACTCCGACTAAGGACTAGCGTCCGAAACGTCAGTACGTTTTTTCATCTTTTCACGGTGTAAAATTTACCCTTTTACATTACTGTTTCATTAGAATCACCGACGCAGCTTACACTAGTTTTTAGCTAGCTATCTCTTCTAAAGTAGGGAAGTTAAGAGGAGAACTTTGAGATGAGAATCGTAAGTGAAAAATGTGCCCAATTCAAATTTGTCAAACCTGTTTTTATTTTTTTTCAACGAAACCAGCAGTACCTGTTTTATCTTTTGTGGAAAAAAAGCGACTTTAATTTAATCAATTGAACAACAACACAACAAAGAAATACAAAAACTTCATCACTCTAAACAAGAGAACACCATTTATCATATTTCTTAATTGATGGAAATAAAATACCTTACTAAAAGAATTAATGACGGACTTAACACAACATCGAAAAAGACGAGTTCTTATATTATTCACTTGGAACGTATTCAAATAAAGATTATAATAATAATGTGCAAATTATGAGTGTACTTTGAACATCCTCCTTATTCTAAGAACTTAACTATTTGATGTATAACTCGGTGTTCTATTTTCGGAAGTGTTTTAATAGTAGTGGACAGGTGTAATAAACCCCACCTACACAAACGGCCAGACCGGAAGCGACCGTGCCCGCGCGCTCTCTCTCTAAATGGCTATATAATCATTGAACCTGGAAGAGCAGTGACTCAAAACGGAACAGATCTTTTTGAAATATAGGCGTTACGTTTTTGGTCTTTTTTGATGTCGTACTTCCTAGCTTGGCTGAAATGATCGTGGTATACGTCTTGATTCGAATTTACAATTGAGGAAACTATGTTCGGATACAAGAATTGTTATAGTTGCTGAATTCATTCATTAAATGATACCAAAAAATCTATTACAATAGTGAGTGAGTGCTTTAGAAACGACCAATTATAAAGCAGAGAGAATAAGAGAAAAATATCAAATGCCCTTCCCGCCAAAGGCATTTGATATTTTTCACTTATTCTCTCTATTTCATTACACACACCGAACGCATAATTTATTACTACAATTATAAAGCAATTGTGGCACAAATAGCAATATTTATATTAGTACTTATTAGCCATATATAGAAGTACTTTTATAGCAGAATGCATGAGTAACTTCATAAGAGACTACATGTCTTGACACCTTATCATATCATTATTATTATTACCTTCTACAGGAAAGTCACTTAAGCCCACTTTCCATCCCTCAACATTTACATTGACACCAAAACAGTCGCCCAAATGAAACGTTTTATCTCACGGGATTGGAATACTTTCAGCGAAAACTATTTACCTCGCCCACACGCGTTCAGCTCGAACAGCGAGGACGGTCTTGTTGTTAGGGTGTCGTAGGGATTATTTTTGACTTGCATGAGAAATCAAACAGTCCCTAAGTCATTAGTCATCCAAAGAGCTAACTTTTTTGGTCAAAGAGACATGATTTATAGGGAGTTTTTGTTGTTTTTCTAATTACATGACCTTGAGCTCTCAAAGGTGAGGACAAGCCCGGGCATGTTGTGTAAACAATTTGACTTTGAATTGCTAAACACAAAAATGGCAAAGTACAGCACAGTTCGWGTTAAAACACGTAGATGGGATTAGCTCGGTACGTGTTCTAAGCCTACACGACTAAAGAACTTCTAAGAGTCCGAAAATAAATCGTATCGCAGGAAAACTGATTTTAACTTAGAATACGCAAGAACACACGAATATTCCAACTCACAAATTCCTTTGTCAAAAGTTATCCCCATGGTACTCCCCTGGTAGCAAATTGAACAAAAATAGACTTACTCTTCCCTTAGAAGATGTGAAATTGTAGTGACAAATTTGACTATGTACTCCCCTGAAGGGGATCTGTTTCGATGATTCTGTAATCACGTGTATAGTTGTTAGCCAATAGTAGAGGAGGTGATGTCAGACCCGAGGGGAGATCCCACGTCATGAGTTTTTCCGGTCATGGCGTTATAACAGAAACAGTACTCGATCAGCAGCTAATGGCGATTCTGATAGCCAAATATTCCCACTTTTTCGGGATACAAAAGCAAGCTGTTTACCCCATGCAATGATTTCATCATTTCTTCGCATTCTACTTCCACTGGGAGTGTTATAAGGATTCTTAAAACGACATCTTTTGCGTGTCGAACGACTTGGTTTTATAATTCCTTTTGCAAAGGAGAGAAAAAGACCCGACTTCCTTGATCAGGCGCGTTGTTGCTGCTTGGTTTGTCCGGGGAATTTTTGCTTTTTTCGGAGCTCGAAGTTTCCAAGAAGTTGTCAGACCTTTTGGAGACGTGTACATATAAGCATTCAGCTAAGTTTAAGGTGAGTTGTTAGAGCATTATTGCGCACGATGTTCAGCCCTTGCTCGCTCATGTCTGTATAGTTTTGCAATCCAAGGACGATACTTCTGTATTACGTCTGTCCTTTGGGATCCAGTTATTTTTTACTGATATTCACGGAGATTCCCCCCTGCTTGAGACATTTAAGATCTAGCTTTTTAGAAATCAATTCTTTGAACTCGGAGTTTTTGGCTTTAATTTTTGAGGACAAAGAAATCTTTTAAAGTTGATGACGGAATGGTCTTGTAACCTCTCTTGCCCACTAAAGAATGCTAACCTTCTCCTCAAATACCTTTACAAACCTTTCCTCTTGGGATGATTTCTAAATCCCTGGACGCAAAATTCACGTTGCTTGACATTCTAAAAGCTGGATTTATAAAGAATAAGACCTATTGTGAAAATAGCAGAGAATTTTGCGATGAAGAAAGGAATGTGGTCTTTTGTTTTGACCGAAATTCAAATCTACTCACACAATACTTGTTTCTAGGTATTCAAGAGCTCCAAAAAAACGAGCAGTGATTTAGCTGTTTACTTTCGATACGATAGGGGATTTTAGGCAGAATTATAGTGAAACAACCCTTCAGATTTTCCATAGTTAATTCATATTTAGTATTGGTGTTTTGATTCAATTCTCGCTTTGGATGAAGACATAAATGGCTTACTTCACGCGATCACTTCAAAACGAATTTTCTCTTAAAATCCCTACTGTTTTTTCGCAATCATAATAATATCGAGTCACGTAACACTAAATCTTAGTCATCTGTTTTCTCAAATTAAGTTTTGAGTCACGATTAAATAACTTTAAGTTTAGAGCATAGAAACCATTTGATTTTAAGGTTCATTGGTTATCGCTCCCAACGGCTTGTATGCTTTTTCTTCTAGAAAATTACAACCTTTTATCGATTTTTTAAGAATTACACAGAATTTCTATTAAATTGTTGTATTTTTAACTGAACCTAGAAGAAGTTATATATTTGACTTTCACTTTAAATTATGCTACTAAAATACGATTTGGTGCAACTCAATATTTACACTTGGTATTTTCTTGAATAATAGATAAATTTAATAATATTTGCACTTTCCATACAGTTGTACTGTAAATGTGTTTATAGTTTTGTAAAAAAAAATATTTAAAAAGTTTCAAAGTGTGGAAATTTTGAGGATATAGTTGGTAGTAGGAGGAGAGTGAGTTAGAGTTTGGGATATTGGCTCTAAATCTTTGCTCTGGCCTGTAAATAGTGTCTCCGACATGCCTGAACATGTTTTATCAATCATTCAAATCACAGCTTTACTTAGATTATTCACTTTCGGGTCTGTCACATAATTTGATGGCATTTGAATGATCCACAAATATTGGGATATTTTCAACTAGTGTTTTACCAAGTGAATATTTGCTGCAAAAACACTGTCTCCAAGGGAACTTGAAGTTAAAAATAATTTCACTATTTGACTTTTTTAATTTATTTGTGTCTAGATTTTTAATGCTCTACTTACTTGATGTATACCTAGGCTTAAAGTTAATAGTAGTCAAAGGATGATTGAGTATCTGGCTGTTGAATATGAATATATTGGACCAAAATATGTAATTGTTAGTTATTGCAAATGGATTTCCTGAGGCTGCACAGTGTTCATGTTATTACATGTAGAATAAATTCAATCTAAATGTTTACCTAAAAGTATTCCTCATGATATTCTGATGCTATTTCTTAACTCCTATTTTTTTATAGCAATGATGAGTCATTGATGACATCATATTGAGTACCATACCATGCAATTAAAATGCTTATTTTTACACCTGTACGATGATCATAGTAATGATAATGGCATAGTAACGACATCTTAACTATCTGTAAAACTTACACACACCATTTGTTTAATCGCACCTAGGGAATTTTCATTTCATCATCATCTATACGAAGTATTCGTGACGGATGCAAGGCTGTGACTTTTTATCTTTAGAAAATTTTGAACGATACAGTTATGTATGATACATGTAAATGCATGGCCTACTTAAGTATTCTTACCTAAGTTTTGTTTATAGTACTTATAAGAGAGTCATCAAAATGTAGAGCAGTTCAAAAGGTCACCTTTTGTTCAGGATGCATTTTCAGCTATAAATTATGTCCTTGAAACCCCATCTTTAATTATTTCTTTTAGAAAAAAAATCACTTGGGAAGCAAAAAAATTAAGGCTCTTCTTTTGGGCTGCTTATTAATGGGTTTAGAATTGATGTAAATAATTTTGTGGGTGTCTAATGTAGTTTCAGAACAGGCAATATTGCTGTCTTGAAATTTATATAATAGCACCCCTAGGAAAATGAAAGCATACAGTACTCATTAATGCATTCTAGTTGTAGTTTATTAGTGTGCTGTACCTTTTAGAATAATGGTACTTAAGATACTTAATAAGTTACTTTAAGTTTTATACCTTATGCTTTGCAAAACGTTTGCAGTGTAGCACTATTTAAATATAAAAGTTAGAATATCTAGAGATGAGTGAGAACAAAGAACGAGAGCAAGTTTTAACAACTTTCAATTTAGATGTGAGTTTGATGTATGATATACCAATGTGTAGCTATACTTTCCTGATGTGTTTTGATCTGTGAATGCATGCACAAGACTTGTTGCTTCCTGAAGAGTCACATGGATTTACACCCTAATCATAGTCCTTATTTGTCAGGCTTATATTTCAACTTATACTTCGTCATCTTTAATTCCACCTCAAATCAACTCATAGCCTACATATCAGAAGTTTGAAATCCTTTATTGTGATAATATTGTTTCTGTTTCATCTACCATGATGTTTAAGGAATATTGATTGCATTTGTTTTAAAAACACACTTGACGATGCCTAGGATGAACAGCTAACAATTGATTATTTATAGTTATTTAAAATTCTTTTTAGTTGGTCATCAAAATACACCTCTTGCATCACTGGAACACTACATGTAGTATGGTTAAATTTATGAGTCTTAATTATTCCAAAATATGAATATGTCAAATAATATTTTTGGGTATTTTTTTCAGTATTGTAGCTTGTATGGACATATAGCAGTCATGTTATGTCATGTGATAATTACTTGCTTCCTAAAATAGTATTTTTTATCCTTCATTGCACGTAGAAATGAGGAGAAACATTATTTCCTATTAGACCCTCTTTTTTGAACTAAATGATAATGTGTTAAGATAAAGTATAGCTTTAACAAATTGAATAGTGTTGCTGTATGTGACTTAGGAGCTTAAATTTATAGACTTCTGTGGCAGAAACATGTTAAATAGTGTTTTGTACATGTTGAAATCCCTGCACAAATTTACACGCAACACAGAGAATATTAAAAATCTTAATGATATTAAAGACTGTGTAAATTAAGTCTTGGCATAGTACAAGAGTAGAGGGGCAAAGGACCTGTATTTTATTCTAAAATAAAATGATATCAACAGTCAGGATGACAGTTACAGAAAGGCTCTTCATCCACTGAATTCTAATTGGGACTGAGAAGTCGATTTACGTTGAGAGTTCTCAGAAAACCAGAGAACCAGGAGAAAACCTTTGATGCGCAGGAGAGAACAAACAATCAACTTTACTCACATAAGACACCAAGTCCGGAAATCGAACGTGGGTTGCCTTGATGAGAGGCGAGCACTCTCGCCACTATTATTAATAGTATTCATTGAATGAAACCTGTTCTGACTTGGTTTCCTGTGTTTGTCTATTTTAACAGCAGGAGTCATTCATTACTGTACATTTTACCAAGTAATTAGAACAAAAATCTTTACTTACAATAACATTTGTTTAAATTATTCAAATCCCCTTGCATGTGAATATGCATCAGTGGTAAAGGGGAAATTTGGATTCAATAACATCTTTTCGTTAGGATATTAAATTTTTTACTCATTCATATAAAAGCAGTAAAGTAGTGTGCTTGTAAAATAGCTTTGAAATATCTTTCACAAATAATCTTATTAATTGATTGATTTGGTGGTAAAACAACTACAGTCCATGATTAAACATCTCCAGATCTGTTGAAATTCAGAATGATTTTGCTTAAAGTGAGTTACTTGTGCCATGTTCAAGAATATAATAAACTAGTAAGTACAAATGAGTCTGATACAAATCCATACTTTACTTTGATGATTGAGACCTTCAAATTTGTCTAAGGATGTCATCTTTATTTGTGTATATATATAGCTCAGCTAACTTTATAAAATTGATCAAAATATTCAGGTATACTTTCTATAAGAATTATTCTTGATTAATCTGTATACAGTAGGTATGCATTTGTAGTTCAGATAGTCTATCCATTTATTTAATCTTTATTCTTGTCTGCTCAAAACCCTTAAGAAATTGAAAGAGGAAGTCATGTTTATGCTTGACCATTGCCAAAGCGAACAACTGACAGGATGTTATGCATGACTTACCTGTATCTTGCTGAGAGCACAGAATGTATAGGATTCAGTTTGGCTTCATTGCACGGGATACTGTTCCAATGCATGAAGTAATCCCACAACCTCATACTCGGTCAAAGATAAAATAATTATGTCGCTAAGGATGTTGATTACATGCAGAGTATTAAAGTAAAGTATAGTTTGATGATTTGAATGGTTTCATTTGAATATGAGGGTTTTCACTTTCACATCTTTGTATAATGTATGCTAATGTTGGTCTCACTCAATAAGTATTAATCATTGGAATTTATCAATAGTATTTTCAAAAATTAGGATTTAAAAATGTATATCATATTGAACTTATATTATTTCAAATCTTTTGAACCTTTATGATTAAAAGTTCAAGTTACTTGAGGATTTTTCATGGAGTGTATCAAAATATTTGGGGTGGACTAGAATTATATTGAGATGAAGGGGCTGTCTTGTTTCTCTATGTACACGAGGCAGATAGGTCTACATGTACATACATGGTGGACTCGCATGTGGTGTCAGTTATTCTTACTTATGTCTGCTTGTTTTTCTTTCTTGCAGCATACCAATGGTATAAGAGTTTCAGTTGTAGACAACTGTTTTTAGATTGACATCCAAGATGCCTATTCAAACACCGCAGTGGACAGAATTCCTTACCTGTCCGATTTGTTGCAATGAATTTGATGACAGCCTTCGAAGACCCATCAGTTTAGGATGTGGCCATACGATGTGCAAGGCTTGCCTTTCGACTTTACATAAAACCCAGTGCCCTTTTGATCAGGCAGCCGTCAGTATAGACATTGACAAGCTGCCGGTAAATACTGCTTTGCTCCAGTTGGTTGGAGTACAAGATTTAGACGAGGGCATACCAGATATTGAATGCATAAAGGAGAACAAAACTATGTATCTCAATGCTATAAGAAAAATCAAAGAACTGGCACTGTACCTAAAATTTGTCAGTGCCTCAAGCAATGGAGCTTCTGGGAGTACTACAGCCAGTAATGGAGCTAATGGCAACACAGGATTAACAAGGCCAATGCAGAGGAAACTCGTTAATCTCGTTAATTGCCAGTTAGCTGAAGAGGAAGGTAGAACACGTGTAATGAGAGCTGCACGAAGTCTTGGTGAGCGCACAGTCACAGAACTAATGCTCTTGCATCAGAACCCACAACAGCTGTCGGCAAATCTTTGGGCTGCTGTTCGTAACCGTGGTTGCCAGTTTCTTGGACCAGCGATGCAGGAGGAGGCATTAAAATTGATATTGCTTGCATTGGAAGGTGGTGAGGCATTATGCAGAAAGGTACTTGTGCTGTTTGTTGTCCAAAAACTGGAGTCAATGTTTCCTCAGGCATCAAAAACAAGCATTGGCCATGTTGTCCAGTTACTCTACAGAGCTTCTTGCTTTGTTGTGACAAAGAGAGATGATGACTCTTCTCTGATGCAGCTAAAAGAACAGGTAGGTTGAAAATAGTTATCTCTAGTTGAAAAAATGATTATTACCATGCTTGCTTATACAATACTCAATCATTGAACTAACTCCAAGATTGACTCTTCATATGTGTTCTAGAAAAATGTATTCAAAATTTGATCAACGAGTATTTAAACGCAAGGATCTTAAAATGAATTCAATTTCCTAACCTACCACAGATAGTTTCAGCTATACCTTTGACTCCTGCTAATGTCATATTATTATTAGCCATTAATTGCCTTTAAAGAAAATATAATAATCTATAAATAGTAAAAGTACATTTCATAATACTGGTATAAATAGTGTATATACTAGTGGTAACTAGTACATTTGGACTGTGTGGGTGTGGAATAAAACAAGCGAATAAGGAGAAAACTTAAACAACATCCTTTTAAACTATGCTGACTTTCCGGACATTTCTTCTTCGTCAGAAAAAAACTGAAATTTTTCTTGAAAGTGTTCTTTTTTACAGTTTCAATACTTATTGTACATCTTATGACTAAATTGTTTATTTTTTGTTTCCTATTTGTGTAGTTCCGGACCTATGACGCTCTTCGCAGAGAGCATGATGCTCAGATAGTACAGATAGCAATGGAAGCAGGGCTTCGTATATCTCCTGAGCAATGGTCGTCTGTCTTGTACGGTGATCTGGAGCACAAATCCCACATGCAATCTATCATTGACAAGGTAGTATATTTTGTGCTCATATTTTTTTAAGAATCAGGACATTGTTGTACATGCTCTATTTTTGTCCAATATATAGCGGATATTGCGTGGTGGCACATGCGTCAAGGTGATATCTTACATGTGTCTTAGCAAAGAGTAAGACATGTCCTCAACACGAGGAGAGAAAATCCCTATCTCAAAGCGGCCATGTAGTATTCTGTTTAATATGTAATTAAAAATACAATTTTAATGGATTATTACTATAATTAATGATTTCTAATAATATCATAATGATTTATTATCTTCGCATGTGAAGATATCACTTTATAGTAATAGTCTCTTTTCCGCTACTTTCAACCATATTTTTTCCTAATAATACTAGGGTGCAGGAAGCTTCTTCATTAACCCTTTGGGTTGTATTCCTGCACTCTATCACCATAATTATTTACCCTTATGCTTTTTTATGTATTAATTTATATTGTTGTAAGTGAAAATAAAAAACCTTGTACCCTTATAGAGAAAAATAGATATTTCATCATTGCTTAATATTAAGCGTGATTTATGTAATATGTATGCAGTCAGCGTTAAGTTGTTTCCTAATTATTATCAATAATCGTCTAATAACAATATTTTTCTTAACAGCTCCAAACACCACAGTCCTTCTCCCAAAGCATCATAGAGTTGATATTCGCATTACAAAGATCCAATGACCCTGGTGAACTGATCAAGCTAAGACCACATTTTGAACTACTTTCAAATATTGATGCTTCACCAGGTAACTAGAGTGAATTTGGTTTTGATATGATACTTATAAATCAGGCATTGTACATTGTTCAAAGTTGACTTGGAGTGCTTCTCAACTTCTCGTCATATATTGTCAACCAGTTTCATTAATTAAGCTGTCTGTCATTGATTATGATGGACGGATTAAGACTGCAATAAAGCAGCTACATGTAAATTGTAATTCCCTTCCAAACGTCCCCAGACACTTACCATCTCAGTGTAATACACCACGTATCAGGCATTACCAACTGTTTGCTGCCCAATAACTGACTACATACACTTGTCAATACTGATGCTAACCACTTCCCAACCCATTACTGACAAATTGTAGACTGCCAATAACATGTATACCACACATATCCAAGGTACTTTATCTCATGCACCGGTTACTTTTAACCAATCAGAAGCATTTTTGTTGCATCGCCAAAAGTTCCAGGATGAATTTCAAAATGGAGTCATATTTCGATTTAACCTTTCCAAAATACGTCCTGAAATATAACTTTACATTGAAACATTCTATGTTACATTTATCACAAAAGCCCCCTCTTGCTCTATCAGCAGTTAAAATGAATAAARACAAAGYATAAATGCAAYAAAAGTAAGCAAAATCGSTGTTGTCTTAATTAGTCACCAGTCACCATTTTGATTACCGTGAGATATAATGAAATAGGAGACTGGGTATTAGGAACTGTTTGACTTGAATAATCCTTTGCGCACTTTGAGGCAAGATCACCTGGATACTCTACACATAATATCTTGTAAAGGGGTTTCCTTAAGCAGCAAATTATAATTAAAGCATTGTGTTTTAAATTATTTTAGAAGCCGTTGCACCTACCTGGGATAAGCTGGAGGAAGCAATGAATGCTGTCCACGCAGTAGTCAGTGGACTGGTGAACTTTGCAAGGGTAAGTAGAATTAATTTACTAGGAAGGGAGGAAGATAGGGAGTGAGAGAGGAGAGGAAAGAGGGAAGGAATGAAGAAATGGTGGATGAATGGAAGGATAACTAAGTATAATTGCACATTATTTGAGAATCAATAAATGATACTTATTCATTTGTCTCACGATTGAGGGTCATTTGTAGAGGTCAGCAACGTTTTGACTGCAAACTGCTAGTCTTCATCAGGCGATGGTGTAGACTGGATGGCGTGTCTACCTTACATAATGTGAGAATCATATGTATGAGAGTGTTATAATTGAAAAGTAATGAAAAAATGTGAGAACAGCTGAGTTATAAAGAAAAAAATTGCCATAGTTTTACGAGGGTAACACATAATAGCCAGTGGCTAACTAACCTGTGGTTCTCGTTCTGTGATCAAATTGAAATTTAGGGTTTGAATTTTGTGGAGGGAGGAAAACCAGTGAATCTGGAGAAAAAGCCTTGAAGGACAGGAGAGAACTAACTAGAAACTACAACCATTACTGAAGTGATTTTAATGTAGTCAAATTATTTTCCTATCAGACATATGGCAACAAAATGAAAGGTTCAGTGGATCCACCTCAGGTGACTTTCTTATCTATCTATTAGCTATCTATCTATTAGCTTTATCTGTATTGTTCACAGCTTGGGAAAATCACATTGGAGCCAGGCTCCAACTAGGTAAAAGCCCAAAGATYGAATTGGAATTTAGAAGTTGATTTTTGTGGAGGGAGGAAAACTGGAGAAACAGGAGAAAAACCCTCAAAGCACAGGCGAGAGCCAATAAACAACTCTACTCACATAGAACACCCGGCAGGACTCGAACCTGGGCTGCATTAGTGAGAGGTGACACATTAGTAGTGCATGCCACCTGTGCTTCTCATCGATTTTTAGGAAAACTTGTAGGACTTCCTTCAATGCTGTTCTTAAATAGAGCTAACAATTCAAATTCTAACTTTGTTGTTTTCATTTTATAAACATTAGCCAAACCACAATTACAGCAAATATAAAACCAGCTTGTGCAGAGATCAACAGAAACCAGGTGGTTGTCCCAGAGGTTCACAGTGCTCCTTTGCACACTCTGAAGAAGAACTGGAAAAGTAGGTTTTTATTTTTCTCCCTAATGTTGTTGTTCATGTTATTGTTGTTGTTGTTGCTGTTATTATTGTTGTTGTTGTTGATGTTGTTGAGGTTACAGTTGTTGTTTACTAGGATGTTGTTTCATTAGGATGCCATTTCATACAATATGGTTTTCAACTGGGTCCTAAATGAAACATAAATATGTAACATGAGCTTAACTTAACTTATATATAAATAAGTAAACATTTCATGATTCAGTGCAGTTATATGCCGAAAAAAAGGGACTTGAAAGTGTCAATGGTAGTACTGTCAAAATAAAGGGCTAGTCATCGAATAATGTCTGGTCAGAGTTGGAACTTGTCTAGTCAAATCTTTGTCTTGCCAGTCATTTGGACCACTAACATTTAGCCAAAAAGGAGGTACATGACTAAGCTAAAACTATTTCGGCTGGCCATCATGACCAGCGACTCGCCAGCTGTTATTTTTAACATTTCTGAGTAATGACATTTCAGTAACTCATAGTACAAGTGGATAGTTCTCGAAGACAGGCATCTATATTGCTTATTTTTATTTCAGATTTGGAAGAAGAAGAACAAAAACCAAGAGTAATGTTGTTGCAAGAGGTCCGTCGTCCATGTCATCAGATCTGTGCTACTCTTCCATGGAAAGTGGTTTGGACCAAGCTTCCAGTGGTGGAGCCACTCAATCCCAGCAGATGAATGGGTCGGCAAGATCATCACCTTGTAAGTAACCTTCTTAGAGGCTCAATACTTATACCTTAAATTTAAGTTTTGAAAGTTTTGATTTTAATGTGCCATTCTGAAGCTGGACAGAGATGCTTAAAGGTGTTTTTCTGGAGGGAAAAGTATTAAAAAAGCTGGAGAAAACCCTTGGAATAATTACAATATTCAGCCTTCATCATTCAGCCTCATGGGCTATTGACTTGTAGACCATTTGGGTTACAAGTCTAAGCATTTAGCCAATGAGGCAAACAGTAGTGCATTAGCAATGCATATCATTAATGCTTCTCGTGTATCATATATGAGAAGGTTTACTTACTTTTGGTTCTCTCATTTCCTTTGGAATTGTTTGGATTTCTCTTGTTTTTTCGTATCCGATAAAACCCAAATTTTCTTCAGTGTTGAATTCTGTATTTGACTGTTGTTGTGGCAGTATTACTCATTGTAAAATAATGTACTGATTTTTTAGTAGGTGGTGAACTAGGAGCTAACTCCTTTGCACCCACCCCGCACCAGTATCGCAGGGTCAACCCAGATCCTATGCCAAGAATAAAACAGATGAACATCCACACCACTGGCCCACAAGGCTATTCTTCTTCTTCCTTTGAGAACCAAAGAATGTCATACCCTTCAAATGGGGAGAGAAGTAATGGTTTTTATTACCCAAGTAATGGCTATCCTTCTACTGGATCTGTCCCTCTACCATCCCCAGGGATCGTTGATAAAGGTAACGTTTGAGTAAATATTTTTATGGAATAGTGATGATAGGTAGGGATAGGGTTGATGTCACCCCCTCATGCTTATAGTTTCTTTATATATCAAGAAAATAACAGATTATACATCGGACACTCTTATAGTAACTTTGTTGTTAACTTTTGTTGCATAGGCCCTCCACCAGGGCTACTACCGTCACCTAGCAGCTCTCCACTGACAATCCAAGAGGACAGTATAAATGGATCACGTGACAGCATGCTCAATGGACATGCCGATAATGGAATGCCTTTACGCAGGGTGCGCCCACGTCAGTTTGATCCTCAGATGCCTCGTAGAACAACGGGGTACATGCCGTCATATGATTCAGGATATGGAACTAACCAAGAACCATACAACTATAGGTAATTAATAGATATTATTAACTATTGTTTATAGACCATGAAGATCAACATAAGATTATTCTTCTAAGCTTCTACCTATATCGGTGTACTCAGAGCTTGAAATAGTAACCGCTGGCTGTAAGATATTGTATCTTGTCCCGTCAAATTTTTGCTTTGTGGATCATTTTGACCAGTAATGTTGAGTTAGAAATTAAGGTATGACCAAACTAAAACTAATTTGGTCGGTCATTATTACTGGCTGTTATTTTAAGCACTGGTTTACTCCATTTTAAGATTATTTATTCTCTAATGAAGCTGATTAGAGAGATATCAGGACATTTTTTCTCATTACAATCAATTCATTCATTCTGTATAATCTGTTTTTAGTGCACAAGGAAGTGTCCACCCTGCTAGCTTTGGAAGGTATCCATATCATGACAGCATGCCATATGGTATGCCAAATACGTCTTGCCGTCCTGATGCAGCAGCATATGACTACTACCAGTATGGACCAGGGCCGTACAGTAGGCCTGAGCTGTATGTAGACAGCTATCCTATGCCGAATATCAATGCAAGGATACTAAGAGAGGAAATGAAATATGTCAAGAGAAGTCCATACATTCCTGATGAAATGGAGGTAGGTTATGTAGAACTTTACTGAATTAACTCTATTATCTTCCCAAGGGTGAACCAGGATTTTTACATGCTCTCAATGCTGAAATAATATGAATATTATTGTAATAATTATATATCAAATGAAAAAGGTAATAAAAGGACCCTCTCTTCATCCTAAAGTCTTGCCACAAATTTTGGTGGGTGTGGGGTGTGGGGGAGGGGGATGCTATGATGCTATTTAATTCACGTTTTCAAGGGCACTTGAAAAGCTCTTGACTTGTAGAATTTTTATTGTTTGATCATTACTTGCATGGTTCTGAAATAGACCTAGTCAGAAAGATTGGAAAATCTGAAAGTCGACCATGTGCAACCACCATGTAAAACCTTGGCATAGTTAGCTGAACATACTCCTTGAAAATTCATTTTTGGGTCCTTGTATACTCCTTGAATAGTCCTTGAATTTTAAGTGGTTACCTCTGCACCAACCCTGAGAGAATTTCATTCTTGCTTGTTGAATTTGTAAATTTAAAAATCCTAAACTAGAGGAAGACTAACTTGTAGTTGTTAATCCTTGCTATTTTAACCATTCTTATATGTTTTTATTCTTGTATGGAAAATGAAGATATCTATGTATTTTCCAGCTTCAAGACTCTCCACGTACAAGTGACCTAGGTGAAGAAACAACAGATCACCTCACAAGGGACTATTACCTTGATGACTGGTTACGAGATTACAAGCCTGTATCCCAGAGAAAAGACACTACCCTGTCTAATGCTAGTAGTGGAGTCGGCAGTGCTTCTCCCCTGAGTCACTCTCCTGCAGCTAGTCAGTCGTCGTCTTCCAGTCTGTCACCTCGTCAAGAGAGTCCAGTTGGCTGGTGTAGTGGTAGCGATGGGGATAAGATATTACAGACATATATCTTTGATAAGGCTTCTACTGCCAAGTCATCGTTATCAGACTCAATATGGAATGGAGAGGTAATTTTGCCATGCCAGACTTGAATGCTAGATATACTGTGTGTGTAGCCATGTTATGGAGTTTCTCCTACGTCACTGCTATTTTTATAAACATGAAACTTGCTAGCTGCATGCTGAATTTGGTTTTTCTTGCCATCAATTAAAACTAATCAGTCAGTACCTTTCATATTTTTGATTGAGARCAACGAAAAACCAAATTTCAGCCTATAGCTTGCAGCTACAGAGTTCTCATGTTTATGAATTTAATAGCTGTTATACAGTAAATACAATTAAGAGAGCAATGATTAGTTAGTATATTTTGATATATTTATGTTATTAATCTTATTGTTTTAATTCATTAAGATGAGGAAATTGTGGCACCAGCCCTTGGTTGACAGCCGATCAGGATTTGAAAGGTAAAATATATTAAATATGAATATTATTACTAAACTACTGAACTACTGAACTACTATAATTTCAGTTATTGGATAGGGACTACCAGGAATTGTGGGACGGTGGTTTTTATTCTGGTGTAGGGAGGGAAGAGAAGCTCTTGAATTAGCAAGTCATATTCTCAAGATTAATTTTGTAATCAAAATCATTTTTACAGGATTGATGCAGAACAAATTAACAAAGATGAACAGATTGCTCGTCGCCTGCAAGAGGAAGAAAACAAGACATCTTCACTTGACAGCAAAGCCATTGACAAGGGTGACAGCTTAATCAGGCAGAGAAGAGAGCTGGAAGAACAAGAACGAAGCAAGGCCAGAAGAGAACAGGTCTGCAGTTTTGACCGCGTGCAGCGTGCATTAGCGTGAAGCGCATGGCATCAAGCGAGTGCAAGCGCAAACTTTTTACAGTATGTATTGATTATGACAAATTCGTAGCATTCAGAGCTTTTGGTTTGCTGTTATTCCTTTTTTCTAGTGCCTTTTCTTACTCCATCTGATAAAGCAGTCGATGCTATACTTCATGTTTACTACCATTGCGACATTATTAATTCAATCCAAAGGCTTGCAAGCACTATGTTGAGTTATTTTGAATAATAGGCTAACATGAGTTTTTCTGTTAATGTTTCAGGAGGAAAATGATCGACGTATTGCATTAGAAGCCCAGGCTTTGGAAGAGGAGGAAGAAATGAAACGTAGTCGAATATCCGAGCATGAAAGATTAATCAATGAACGCCGCAAACTCCTTGCTAAACAAAATAAAGAACAACAAGAACTCAAAGACCGACGATTAGCCCAAAAAATAGCTTATGAGGATGCTCAAAAGGCAGGGCTGGTGTCCAATCGTCCAATGAGCTACAGCTCTAAATTACGTCCACGGACATCTGCAAGCTGTCCATTTCACATGTCTCGCATGAATGATGTCAGAACAGGCAGTTTCAATGCCTTTGGCAGCATTGGTTCCTACAGAAATGGGTGTGGTTCATATTTTGGAGGGGAAGATGATGTCATAGATGGGCCAACGCTGAATACATGCCATTCATGTAGGAAAGACGATGTCTTGACATACAATTGATGATGAATACAAGATATGGGTATTTTCTATATTGATAAATTTAAAAATAATTATAATGTATCTAGCATCTAGTTTACACTGCTCTTTGTTTCAAAATGTTTTGATAGTGTTTTTCCCCCAACAATATTATGTACCATGTCCAAATTTATGACTCTAAACAGATGTGATGCATGTCTTTGAGTATGACACCAAGTCTTTTTCTTGTGGCTTTCTTGTTGAGTGGAGCCTGGGAAACAGGAAGTGGTGCCCATTCCTCTTYGCACCCCTCTTTTCCAGACTCCTTTGTGGTAAGAAAGCACGGTGTAGGCAACACGAAGTAAACCTTTTAAACATTTAATAAGATGATTAATTGAGAATTGAATGCATAGATTAAGTTAATCCTGTCAGAATAGAAATGAGAACCATTACTATTTCTATTCTAGAATCTCACTATAGATATTGTTGTTCGGCATATTTTAGCCCAATTACCTAATGTGCACAGGTACGCAATTAAATTGGACTCTTCTGATATGACGGAGGAAATAGGAAGTGGGATGTGAAGATGAGAAGGAAGCAGTGAACTCACCTACAGACCTACTTGCCTACAGACCTACTTGCCTACAGACCTACTTACATAAAAAATTGAGTTGGTCTGTGGGCAAGTTTGCTGTAATTCAGTAGAATTTATCAAAACTCTTGAAAACTCTTGAAATAAGTCTTTGTTTTTAACCCTCTTTAGAAATATTATTCATTCATTAGAGTTTTTTAACCTCAGCCCTGGGAAGAATAATTTTCTCAAGAACATCAATGACAATCTTCTCCTCCTAAATGCTATGTGAATAATGGAAGTGAAAAAAAACAAAAACTACACAAATGCTCAGAACATGTGGCAATCATTTGCTAGAGGCAAATGAAATAACAAAACTTTTGGCTGCTATTTTTGGTCGATAAAAGAAATTTACCATAGTACGTACTAGCTGTGAAAACTAGTTAGTGACCCCTTTTCCCCCATTAGCCTTGCTTTCGAGATATCAAGAACACTAAAAGAATATATGACTGCAGATTCAACTGTAATACCAGCTTTTCCAACCCTCTTCCTATCCTACATCATATCACTGGATCAATAATGTACAGTAACTAAGTATTAATAATTAGTATTGCAGTTTTACAAGGTACTCTATTACTTACTCTAGAATGTAGAATCTTGGCAATGAAATTATGATCCTTTTTAGTGATCTATTGATGTAAATTTATAATTGAAATTGTCTAAAAGAAAAGATACAAAATTTCCCCTTATTTTGTGATTCCCAATGCAATCTAGCCTAGAAAAAAATTTGTAGAAAATGATTTTTAATTTTTTTAAAAAAGCTTTGGAGAGCATGATTTGTGTCATCTGTTTAGATGTGCTAGTGTAATGCTAGATTACATTACCATATATCCGTGAAAATGTAGCAAGAAATTGCACAAATCTGCAGAAATCAGCAAGTTTAGGAAACCTCAGTAGAGTGCAAACTATATATCCTTGAAATAGTACTAATTAGTACAAAATAGCACCAATGAAACAATTGAAAATACAAGAAATACATGTGTTTAGTACTATTTGGCTCTTGTGCTATTCCATGGATATATGGCTTGCACTCTAGACCGCCATAAACYTACAAAACTTTGCACTAATTTGTACAATTTTGTTAGTTAACTTTTCACAGATATATGGTGTGCACTCTAGGAATGAGTTAGACTGGCTATGCTGTGTTATTGTTTGTAGCAATGCGTGCAATGTTTCATGTGTATTTGGTGTGTCAGTAAGCAAGAAAGAAGTAGAATTCTAAAAAACAATTTCTTTCAAAAACGAAAATGAGCCTTTATTGATCACTCTAGTTGTTGTTTTAGATATTATTTTTGAGCATTTTTCAGTTCTAACTGTTATCATATTTATAAAGTTTTAGTTACTTGTTAGTTTATACGTGTGTGCATCCATTACATACTTATTTTCTTGCAAGTTAATGTTGTGTAAGTGGGTAAAATATGGTAAATGTATTTATGTCAACCCTTGAATTTTCATGAGAATTGAACAAAATTTCTGGTCTATTTTTCCTAAAGTCAGGATAAATTTGTAGAGTGATATTTTTGAATTTCAAGCAATTTTCACATGCTAAAAAGGCAAGGCTATTTTGTAATCTATGTGAATTTTTAGGGTTAAAGAAAGCAAAAAGTACTTTAGTTACTGCTTATTTAGCATAAGATTATTCATTTATAGAATTATAGTTAGGTATAGTACTGCATGCCAATAGACATGCACTCATTAGTATTTGTACTTTAGTTGCGAAAACACTAATATTACAAAGCAATGTTAAAATGAGAAAAGCAAAAAACCTCATTTGCTTCTCAGGTGTTTAGCCAACTGAAAGTAAGTCTATTCCATTTTGTTAATTAATTAATTAAGATTAGACCTTATGATAAACTTTAATGTAAATTAACTTTACAAAGAATCTTGGCATGCATTGATTCCTTTAAATCTTTTTTGGATTGATGCAATATTTTTCCATGGGTGTAAAACCAATTGTAGATAAGTTTATTAATGTAATTGAGGGGAAAAGTTTCAATTTCTAATGTTAACTGTGAATTTTTAACAGTTCTAGAATTTCATGAAGATTGTATCCACATGTTAACAAATTTTAAAGAAGAGAACCGTGGACTATGCTACATGGCTCCAAACTTTTTGGTGACAAACAGTGCTTCAAGTGTAGCATTTTTAAGGAAATTGCCTACTGCTTTTCCTTGGATCTCTTCAATAACGACTTTTTGGATACAGTACAATTCTTTCATGAAGTTTTTCAATTATTTTTTGTTGATTCAATTGTAGATAATTTGATTCTGGGGAAGATCTTAGAATTCTTTTCACACAGTAAGCAATAGAAATAATTATAGTTGATTATGTTGTAACAGAATTCTCTTAGTGTATAAAAAAATGGTGTGTGATTGGTTCAAGTAACAATGGATAATTGTGGCAAAGAAGGTGTTAAGACTGCTATGCTTATCACTTAGTAAGAAACAAGGAAGTGGCACCAAGAGAACAATGTCAGGGGCAACTGCATAAGGTTATTACGTCAACAAGTCTTAAAGCGAAGAGGCTGGTGTCGATGTAATAACCTTATGCCATTGCACCTAACATTGGACTTTTGATAGTAAAGCATAATGACTCCAAACTTTCTTATTTCTTACTCCATTGATAAGCCTTCTCATTCACTTCTATGCACACACCATGGTACTTCCCCCAAGGGTACATTATGCTTAAATTATCTTGAGTGACTCGCAAGCGAGTGGCCTGTCTGCCAGTAGCAGATAGACAAGATATCTCCGTGTGATTAAATGATTTGTATAAATAAATTGTTCTTCCTATAGACCTTATATAGTGCAGGTATACCATTGGAATATTAGTTTTGTAAAAGATGGTAGTGACTGTTGATAATTAAACAGGTTATTAACATAAATTTGTTTTATTTTACTTGTACAGCCCATACTTCAGCTGGTTATCCCCTGCATTAAAGACCTGTTTTCCACCCCCTCCCCCCTCCCCTAAGAACTAGAATGTATTAAATGGACCTGTGCGGACAGTGGCATAGCAAGAGTAGAGGACGTTTTTGCGATCGAAAAATTTGAATAAATATTTTGATTTTGCCTGTTTTGGCGGTCATTTCCACGCTATAAACGTGTGTGCTCCCCACTGGGGAAGGGGGTTCAGGTCGCTTGAATATAGGTATTTCCTTTGTGAACCTTTTAGGGGTTCCAGCACGATCTCTTTCAATCATATACATATGGTCAATACCAAAGTGGACAAGTTTTTTTTTTTACACCACGTGAAAAAAACTTGACTGCACTTCGATCAAGTGTTGTAAGAAACCTGCCCACTTGTTAGATCATTGGCATCACGTGGATGATTTCAAATGCACTTGCTGTTAGCGGTTAACATAACAGATGCTACGAAGGCGATAAAAAAATTACTACTGCCTCGGTCTACTGGGAAGAATAGTATTATGCCTAATAAGGTGTGACCCTGCTCTGCGCATGCTCTGTTTTCAAAATGAGGGCCTTTTGATCCTTTAATAGTTAACTCTTATTTACTGGGACCGAGGGAAACAGTGTGTTTTGTGCTCCCGAGACGGTGATGTTTCACGAGTTGAAGCATTTTCTTAATAATAAGCGACAAGTAGAACGCAAGGTATTGATCGTAATGACACTTGATTATGCGGGTGTTGTTTATTTGCACTTTTTTGCAATTTTACACAATTTTGTGGAAGAAAAACATTCCACGATATTAAAACATTCAACAAGAAATATACACACAACCTCATAGAATTTATGTTCAATAAATTACATTTTGTTCAAAATATAGAGTTATCGAGAATGATTAAAAAATCCTCCCAGAAAAAAATATAAAATGAAAGTTATGAACCAAAATAATATTTAATACAAATTTTTAATGGTTTCAGTAGATCTTTGCCAGCTTTTACTCCAGTGTGCTTCATCATCAAGTTCAGCATTTCTTTTCTCTTTTATACTCACTAGTGCAGCAAAGAATTTAGATTTGTATTCCTGGAAAAGCAGAATATGTTTATGAAGTAAACGATTGGTGGTGGGATTCCTGTGTTAAAACTGGAGAACAAGGGGCTGGGTACTATCAGTCGTAATTTCTTACCTCGTAAGCCTTGTCACGTGCTTTGATAGCAGCGAAGTGCGCCTGAGTTGTTTTGACGGTTTTGATTGTTGGGGTTCGTACATTAAACGTTAAGAAAATTGGTATTGAAAACTTCGAACATCAGATGAAACGTCGATACAAATGTTCTAAATAGCCAGCTTTCGATATTCTGGTTGAGAGTTCAAACACAAAACATTTCGAGTCGAGGCTCCGGAGTGTCACGAATATCGCTCGCTTGGGCTACCTGTGTTCTAATATGTTAATTAATCGTTGTTAACACGTCATAACGCGCGCAAGCGTATTCTGATTCGATCCTCAATAAAACACGCCGTCCTAAACTAGGACCTATCTTTTAGGTTGTGTTAGTCACAACACGGGGAAACAAAAGAAAAATTACGATTGAAATATTGTTTCCCCGGAGCCTCGACTCAAACATGCCGTCAGATAACCAACGTCATACAGGGGCCTGGCCAGGATTTTTCACGGGGGGAGGGGGGAGGGGAATTCAAAAATCCGTCATTTTGTTACTAGGTTTTCAATACCCAATATGTTTCTTCAAAACATTCCCATAACCAAATTATTGATCAGGAAGAGTCCATATGAGAGTTCTATGCTGTTCTTCACAACGAGCACATTTCATCACTTTAAAAATCGTAAGGTATTGGCGTGCCGTGCCGTCACTATAAACGCTGTTCTGAGCATCATGATGATATGCTAAGCAGTGAACGACGCACCTTAGCTGCTCTCTCTAAGTTAAGTACTGTATATTTATGTAATGTAAAGGATATTTGTTATCTTCTCCATGCGTTGCTCAATGTCGAATTCATTGGTTGGAAGACCATCCCACGTGGCACTGCCTGAAGGAAACGGCTCCAGTTTATCTGCAATAAATCATTACTTTTAATTTACATAATATAATAGCGCATGCAGATATTAGCATTTGATTTTTATGCAGGGTCAACTCGCTACGCGCGGTCAGCTTGATTCACAACCGTTCTCCCTGTCGTCCACGCGTAGCGTTTTTGAATCGTTTTCGCCCGTGCATACGAATCTGTTTTGCAAAAGTTGCGTTTTAATGTGGCGTATTTACCCGATACGTGCGTACAGAGGGCCATTCCGCAAAGATAAAAAAACCGTTCTCAAAAATATCTGAATACTTGGGGACAGGGCATCAGAGAACGCAGCGGTATTCTTGTCATGTGCGCGCGCAGTCGACTCTTTAATCTGATTAATAGGTTTTTTTCCTTTATTTTTGGGTGCTTTCTTACGTTTGCGGTGCTTAAAAGAAAGAATAGAAGAAAACATCCGGCAAGTGGATACCGGCTCCTCAAAAAGCAAAAAGCAAAAAGCAAAAAAAAAAAAAAAAAAAAAAAAAAAAAAAAAAAAAAAAAAAAAAAACCTTAGATACTAAACCGTCAAACTAACACAACAGCCTTATTCACGCATGTCCCCTGTTCTGTTCAGTAATCACAGCAGACAAGAACGACCAAAAGCACTGAGTGCTTCATCACTGCGTGCGTGCTTTTTCACTGAACGAAAGCACGGAAGAAACTTGCTCTATTTAACTAGAAGAGAACTAATATAATATATATATACCTTTATTCTCTTCGCCTCCTGCTATTTTGTCTCTTAAAAGTTGTTTAGTGGTTTTGGGCTTCGGCTCCACGACTGGAATATAAAACAACAACAAAATTGTGTTTTTTCAGCCTTATTAACATTGTTCGGGGGCGTCTCCACCCCTTTCGCTGGTAAGAGGGAGGGGGCGGGAGGAGAGAGGAAGAGGAAGGAGGGAGAAGGGAGAACGGAGAAGGGAGAAGGGAGAAGGGAGAAGGGAGAAGGGAGGAGAGAGGAGAGAGGAAGAGGAAGGAGGGAGGAGGGTGAAGGGAGAGGAGGGAGAAGGGAGGAGAGAGGAAGAGGAAGGAGTGAGGAGGGAGGAGGGAGGAGGGAGGAGGGAGGAGGGAGGGGATCCAAGTTATTTGAGATGGTTAGTGATGTAACGGTTTGATCTTTCCCTTGATCCGAGTAGTCTTCTGTATGCTAAAAGTATGCTAGAGTCCTCTCTATAGTACACTGAGCTCTCAAAACGAAGTGTAATTTTTTACAAACTGCGTGGTTTTACCTCCAACTAACACGTCATCTATAGTAAGGACAGCATCAAACTGTAGTAACATCGTCTCACAAATGTGTGCCAGCTTCTCGACAAACGACGCGCCAAACTGTACTTCCATTTTCTGAAACATTTCGACACATTAAAGATGATGAAAACCATTTGAAAGACATGCTGTACTGATATCAACCAAACCCATGAACCCATGAACCCGTGCGTGCGTGCGTGCGTGCCAGCAAGCAAGCAAGCACATATATATATTTATATTACCATTAAAGTATCAGCATGATCTCGGATAGCATTATTTGCTTCCGTGGTTCGCTGTATTTCTTGCTGACACAACGAGTCCATTTCGTTACGGTTATGAGGATGGCCAAGGCTTGGTCGCAGCTGGGACTGATATTGTTGCTAAGTAATAGAAAAGCAAACAAACTATAAGAGGAATGAATTAACATGGAAGTTGAAAAAATAAATGTTTGTAATTGGTGTTGGTAGTGGTGCTGGTGGTGATAGGAAAAGGAGGGGTTATGAAATAAATTTTACTTGAGAAAGACGTAAGAAAATTATTGAATGAAAAAAACAAAAACAAAAACAAAAAACAAAACAAAAGAATAATAAGTGTTGCAGTCAACAGAGCTTTTAAGTTGTAACGTATTTCCGGGTGCAAGGCACACAAAAGATCTCTAAAATCTTTCCACAACGTTTTCCCAGGATTTATTCTCTACCTTCACCAAATAAATATATGAACAGAAAATCCTGCTATGAAGTAAAAAACACAGAAAAATATATGTAAAAGTAAGTATTAATTTGGACCCGGAAGTCGTTTTTCGTTCGAATAACGTCACACTTATAGCTCTATACTATACTGAATGGGAATGAATGGGAAATGAAGCAGAAGAAAAGAGAAGTGTCCTCTGTCAAGTGTGTTGACATACTTTTCTTTGATCTAGTTCAGTTCTGTGTTGCTGATATTCTTTTCGCTTCTGTTCTCTTTTGTTCTCCAGTTCTTTCATCTGTTCTTCCAAGACAACGTTGATTGCAAGTGGAGGAACACGCACAATCAGAGTAGAAAACTTCTGCAGTTGGCTTCGAAGTTCTTAAATATGAAATAACAAACCCAGTCAATTAAAGCACATAACACAATGTCGTTCGTTGAAGCTCTTCTTTTCTTCAATATTAAGTTTACTTCCCTCCTCTCCGTGCTCAGGTACCTGTGCATCTGTTTTCAGCACAGATGACGTCAAAACATGATATGTTCCCATAACTCTGCGCAATCTATGCATCTGTTTTATCATAGAAGAACAGATGACATCAAATCGTGTAATATATTCCATATCTAGCCTAGACATTTTTCACATTAACAGAGTGCAAACCTGTGCGTCTGTTTTCTTATAAC